TGACTTTCTATTTCCTATGCTTTTAATTTCTGCATTATCTCTATTAATCTCATGTGGTTTGCCTCTCTATCAATATTCTCTCTACATAGTCTTTGATATCTTTTGTCGTCCTGATTTAACTTCTTAACTTGAAATCTTTAGCAGTCATGCATGGCCCATCTGCTGCCCTTGAGTTACATGAGGCCAAGCACAGCTATCTATGACTGTGACTCAACACAAAGTTGTAAATTTCCTTAAAGCGGAGTTGTTGTTGTTGTTGTTGTAACTTGACTGATGAGCTCTCAGGCATGAACTGTACGTTCACAGTTGCAATGCCAAAGCATTTGTCTCCTGTCAGTGCTCCACTGATTTTACTCTTTTTCTTTCCTTTCTAACAAATAAGTGAAAGCTATAAATACGTCTCCAAATAATACTTTGGCTTCGGTCCATGAGTTTTAATACATAGAATTCTACCATCCTTTCAGATTAAAATATCCATAAGTACACTTAATTTCTCTTTACATTATTGGACCTTCAGAAGATATTAAGCTGTTTGCTTGCTTGTTTTAATTGAAAGTATTTTCTTTTAAGTGTCCATGTAAGTTAGATGGTTACAAGCTCATGATTCTGTCTCTGCAGAGTACCCTGTGACTTTGTGGACAATTCCATGAGCTGTATTTTGTCAAGTCCATGTGCAGGGTAGGAAGGAGTTAATTTCAGTAAAACTTGTTTCTCCTGAAGAAGGCAGTTTGAGAGAGCACAATGGCTTCCCTGGAAACCACTTACAGTCTGAGTCTTTGCCCTTTTCGGATATTGATCAAAATTGACTCTGCTCTTAGCCTTGGTCCTAAAAGACTCTTCTGAAAGTGGGTGACGGTAGAAGCAGGGACTCAGAACTGGGCAAAGTGTTGAGAATAAGTGACTTGGCCCCTAGCAAGACTTCTCTGTCTCTCTCTCCAAGGTCCTGCACACATCACAGAGGGAAGAGTGGACGAGCTCAGGCTCTGAGCGATGAGGAGTACTGTGCAGTGGGCCCTTCCTTCTGACTTCAACATAGAGGCCACAAGTGTGTACACAGCAACTATAGCTGCCTGCCTGGGGCTTGGGGAGGGGAGTGAGGAAGAGAAAGGGAAGGGAAGGGAAGGGGAGGGGAGGGAAGAGAGGGGAGGGGAGGGGAAGGGAGGGGAGGGAAGGGAAGAGAGGGAGGGGAGGGGAGGGGAGGGGAGGGAAGGGAAGAGAGGGGAGGGGAGGGGAAGGGAGGGGAAGGGAGGGGAGGGAAGGGGAAAGGGAAGAGAGGGGAGGGGAGGGGAAAGGGAAGATGAGGGGAGGGGAGGGGAGGGGAAAGGGAAGATGAGGGGAGGGGAGGGGAGGGAAGGGGAGGGGAAAGGGAAGATGAGGGGAGGGGAGGGGGAGGGGAAAGGGAAGATGAGGGGAGGGGAGGGAAGGGGAGGGGAAAGGGAAGATGAGGGGAGGGGAGGGGAGGGGAGGGAAGGGAAGGGAAGAGAGGGGAGGGGAGGGGAGGGGAAAGAGAAGATGAGGGGAGGAGAGGGAAGGGGAGGGGAGGGGAAAGGGAAGATGAGGGGAGGGGGAGGGGAGGGAAGGGGGGGGAGGGGAAAGGGAAGATGAGGGGAGGGGAGGGGAAAGGGAAGATGAGGGGAGGGGAGGGGAGGGGAAAGAGAAGATGAGGGGAGGGGAGGGGAGGGAAGGGGAGGGGAGGGGAAAGGGAAGATGAGGGGGAGGGGAGGGGGAGGGAAGGGGAGGGGAAAGGGAAGATGAGGGGAGGGGAGGGGAGGGGAAAGGGAAGATGAGGGGAGGGGAGGGGAAAGGGAAGATGAGGGGAGGGGAGGGGAGGGGAGGGGAGGGGAGGGGAAAGGGAAGATGAGGGGAGGGGAGGGGAAGGGAAAGGGAGGGCAGGGACATGAGTGGGGCAGGTAGCTCAGGAAAAGGGATTCTTCAGAGAAGGGCTGAGATAAAGTAGTGGTACTGAATGTAATTAACCACAGCACATTGTATTCAAGTATGATATTTTTTAATTAATTAGATAAATCTTAAAAAGGACTCTATACACAAGTCGTGTTACTTCCTCTGTTCCTTCAGCCTACGTTATACCATACACTAAAAGTAACTAAGAAAAACTCATGGCCCAAGTTGTCGTGTGTGGAAAGAGAACTTTACACAAAAAGGTAAAACTTTCCACAGATTACATAGAGATTCACTGTAAAGAGCGCACACAAGGACCACACAGAGAACTCGGGATCAGGGTGTGAGATCTAGGATAGGAGGAAAATTCAGCCTCACATCCCCTCACATGTCAGAGATCCCCGAGACAACCAAGGAAAGGAAGGGGTGGATTTCCTCCCAAAGTGATGCATGGAGGCCTCATCAGGGTGGTGGAATTAACAAAATTATCTAAACTACCTCATCCTTCCAGTAACCTCTTAGTCTAACCTCCTGTTCTCGAAACTTGTGACCTAAGAGGCACTTTCAGAGATATCTATGCTCAGAAAAAAAGAAAGCAAACTAGAATAGTAGTGTAAACACTTTAACATTCAGACCGTATTCATAATGGTTGTCTTATGACCATTCCCTGCAATATCCACGCCCTTGTTTTTAAAAGAAAGAAATCTCTGCATAAAGTTGAATGAGAAGTTCAAGGCCACGCAGGAGGTAACTCACCTCCTTTGATGCCTTAGAACCTAGCACAGAGTGCTCAAGAACTAAGACAATAAGCACCAACCAGCCTGGGCCCTGAACCACTGGGGACCTCATTCTGAGCACTGGCTTGATGGAGGATGTCCTTCTGTGTGCTGTGAATATATGTTTCTCTTACTGGTTGATGAATAAAGCTGTTTTGGTCAATGGACAGGCAGGATGTAGCCAGGCAGGACGTATAGGTGGGCTACCAGACTAGGAGAAGGTTGGGAAGAGGAACTCAGATAGTGAGTCTTGAGAGAGATGCCCCTAGCTGCCAAGGAAGAAAGGGACCCAGGCATCACCGGTAAGCCTAGACCATATACAGATACAAAGATTAATAGAAATGGGTTAATAATTAAGAGAGAGCTAGCCAATAAGAAGCCTGAGCCATCAGCCAGTTTATAAGAATTATAAGCCTCTGTGTGTTTGTTGGGAACTAAACGGCTGCAGGACCAGAAGAGAGAGAAATTTCCATTTACAATGGCTCTCTAAGTTAGACTTGAGGCAACCACAGTCACTCTGCCTACTTTCAAGTATGCAAAGAATGGGTGTTGGCTTACTAGAATGGAGAACACTGGCAACCTCACACTTAACCTTAAGTTGCTCATGCCCTCAGCATGTTGGTAATATCTGATAACCAGCCGGCATTCATTCATTCATTTATTGGAGACAATAATTACAAACTTGACATAAGAAAGAAACACAAACATGTCATTTGTGTGTGTGTGTGTAGCCAGCAGTTAAGATGGCCCTGACATCAGACTTGAGGCCTTCTGGGGGTGCATGCTAGGTAAGTGCTCTTCCATGAGCCGTATCCTCAACTCAACTTTTGCATCTTAATCGGAGATTCCTAATGAACCAAAGAAATTATTTTCTAAGGGTAGGATGTTGAGTTATCATATCAGATTAGAAGGAACTACAGAACTAGAACCTTCTGCTCTGATTGCCTCCTGTAGCTAATTTCTCACAGCAGATTGGCAACTACTGACATCATAGGCTGGTCCCAGCAGACAGGTCATCATAAACTGATCCCCAGAGATATGTCCCCAACAGACATGTTGCCATATACTGGTCCCAAGCTCCCAGGTTGAGCAGTTTCATTCGCCAGAAAGGAACCAGCTACTAAGCAAATCACTGAAGAGCACTGATCACTTAAGCAAGCAGATTTGGTCCATCTGCAGCAGGGCAAGCCCTCCAGAACTCCTCTCTCATCATAGCCTTTCCAAATGCCTACAAGACGTTTATCACATGTCAATCTTTAAGCTAAATATTTACAAGGCTGATACACTGTAGCTACCACACCACTGTTAATTTTAGCTTGCAATTACCAGCAAAAGACAAACTATATGCCCCTTGGAATTTTGAAGTCAATATTAGGAAGTCAAATAAGCAGCCTTCAGACCGTCGTCCTGGGCACCCCAGCACTGCCATAACTCTGGATTAGCAGAATCATGAGGTCACCAGGTTAGAAGAGGTAGTTCTAAAGCTACAGGAACAAAATGAGTCGGAAACCCCACAGGGAGTGAAGGAAAGAAGAAAGACAGCTTGGGAGTCAGGAATGGGGGAGGGGGCAAAGTAAGAAATTTGGTTGAATTTAACTCTCTCTCTAGGATTTGTAAGTTTCAAAAGTGAACTGCAATTTGTCAGTCAGGTGAGGGACAAGTGACAAAATGTCACGATTTCTAAAATACGGGAGAACTTGCTCTGGTTTCAGATGAATTCATACACCATACGGTGGGCGGCATTGCGTTTCCAGGCCCTTTCTCGGGAGCAAGTAGAGAGTAATACTCTGTAGCTCCCTATCCAGGGAGTTCAGGAAGAACTGAATTACAGTGCATGAATTTACATGAGGAATCATTTTTCATCAAACACGAATGCTTAAGATGAAGGATTAAGACATTATGCACCCGAGGAGAGCTAAACTTCTTTAAAATAATCCTGTTAGAAAGTGAATTTTTAGGATCTGATAAATTTATGAATGTCACCAGACACTGGCCTGACACCTGCTTCTCCTGCTCCATGACAGTCTATTCAAAAGAAGGAACTACGGTTTCTCGAGCATATCTGAATTTACATTTCATCTACTCTCGCATGCTAAGACCAGCAGCAAAGGCAGAAAACTCTGACACCCTGCAATACACTCCAAGGACCCCGTGTTAGTTCTTCAGGAGGAATGCTTCAAGAATCCTACCCAGACCAGGAAATGGATTGCCTCTGGAAGCCTAAGCCAAGAAGCCAGGACATGGCTTGAGCCAAGAGGAGTAGAGCCTAGAAGCCTGGTGGAGCAGGGGCGGGGCTTCAGAATGGTTGTCTAGGTTACCAGGAGGCGGAGCCACCTGAACCGTTGTAGCCAAGATATTAGCATGCTGTGGTTACATCCATTGATCTTAGAAGCCTAGAGTGGCCGGATGGCGTGCTTTGGACTCTATTGTGGGAAGACCTTATTATTTAAAAATAGCTCAACTGAAATATATGGAGAGTGTGGGGCGTGCCCAAGGGGACAGAGGACAAACGAAGAGAAACACTGCCAGCCCTGCACAGAGTCCCCGGAACTTTATGACTGGCTTTACCTTGGGTTCATGGCGATGCTCCCTCTTGTTTCCCATTGGCTCTGCATTGAATGGGACTCAAGGAAAAGTTGTTCCAGCGGCGTGCTTTTCCAGCAAGCCTCTGCCTTATTTGAATGCAGTATGGCAGCCGTGATCACATTACTTGTAAGTGATCCCCCCGGTACCCTTTCCATCTATTCTTGCGGGGTACTGATGCTTTCAGATTGGTATACGATGCTCTACAATCCTAGTCCGGATTACATCACCACCCTGCACTGCACGCAGGAAGCCGTGTATCCTCTGTACACCATCGTGTTTATTTATTACGCGTTCTGCTTAGTATTCATGATGCTGCTCCGACCATTTCTGGTGAAGAAGATCCAGTGGAGCCTATACATGCCAAACCCGTTTGAAAGCATTTACACCGCCCTCTACTTCTTCCCTGTTTTGACTGTGCTGCAAGCCGTTGCAGGAGGCCTCTTGTACTATGCCTTTCCGTATATCGTATTGGTGTCATCTGTGGTTAATCTGGCTGTGTACCTGGTCTTTGCCAAAATAGAGAGCTACATCGACCTCATAAAAAAGGACAGACTTCTTGTCCTGTTCTGCCACTGGTTTCTTCATGCCTATGGCTTAATCGCCCTCTCCAGAGAGGACCAATTTGAGCAAGATCTGATCCTTTTAATTCTGGTACCCGTCCCGGCCCTATTCTACTTCTTCACTAACAAATTTACCAAACCATCGCGGATAATCTCGGAAGGAGCCAAAGGACAATGAACACAAAATAGGAAGGAAAAAAAAACTCTGAAAAGTAAAGAGATTTTTTAAAATGTATTAGTATTATTCTGTTATTCATGGGAACAGTGTGTGTGTGTGTGTGTGTGTGTGTGTAATTGTTTAATGATTTGTAATTTTTATTTATGTGCATGTGTACATCGGCGTAGATGTGTGTTACATATGTGCAGGAGCTTGGGGAGGCCAGAAGGGACACCAGGTCCCCTGGAGATAGAGTGTCAATGGTTGCCAGCACTGATGCTGGTGTTAGGAACTGAACTGTCCTCATCTGGAAGAGCTGCAAACACTCCTAACCTCTGAACCATCTCTTCAAACCCACGGGAACAGTGTACCTCTGTGCTTGTTTTCCTCTTGTTCTTATTTTTTATTTTTTTAACTAACAGCTACAGTTACACTTGGAAGATACATAATATATGTAGATGATAGCATCTACTACACTGGAATCCTATTAGGAAGTTTGAGTTATCCTTTGGTACACAGCAGTGATTCTGTTTCTAATAATGGGAGTGTCCCATCTTCTTATGAAAAGCCTTAGCCGTTAGAGCCTGAAAGCCTTGGCACTGGCTCAGTGGTTTATGCTTGCTCTGTCCCTTTGGCGTCTCACATTTAAGGCATTACAATGGTAAACATACTCATGGAGTGTGACAGCAAATATTGAAAAAAAATTATGAGGGTTTTGTTGTTGTCTTACATTTATTTTCACCAATACATAATTTTGATAATACAAAAATAGACCACCACTTATATACCAAGCTTTGTGTTTAGAGATAGCTTGGTTGAAGACGTGTTCCGATTATTGTCTCTGTAATGAAGGAAATTAGTAAAGTTTAAGTAAAAAGAAACCTGGTCACTCGCCCTCTGAAGCACAAGCATCCAATGGCTCACACCTGTTATCTGATCCTAACATTATGTTGAGAACTTTGCTAACATGTCCAAACTCTCTCTTTGGAGGCATTGTGCATGAATCATCCTATAAAAAAATGAATTCTAAAACAGGTGCTTAAAAAGAATGGCAAAGGAAAGGTTAGCCCAGGCTGTGGAGGAAGGTACTAAGAAAAGTCTCAACAGGTGGTCTCAAACATGATCCAGCATCACAGTCTAAAGGACTTTGTCAAAAGATAGGACTTCTTTGATGGTTTGTCAACTTGACACAACCTAGAATCACCTAGAAAGACAGTCTCAGTGAGGGACTGGCTAGATCAGGAGGCCTGTGAGCATGTCTGGAGGGCTTGTCGTGATTTAATTAGTTGATGTGGAGAAACCCAGCCCAAAAGTGCTGGCACTTCCCAGGTAGACGATCTTGAACTGTGTAAGTGTAGAGACAGGGCTGAGAGCAAGAAAGCTTGCCTGCATCACTTCATGGCGTTCTGCTCTTGGCTGTGGATGTGATACGACTACCTAGTTTTTGCTGCCTTTGACTTCCTCAGAATGAAGGGCTGTAACCCAGATCGGTGGGCCAGATAACCCCTTTCTCTCCAAGTTCCTTTTGTCAGAGTAGTTTCTTACATCAGGCAATGAAAATGGGATAGCCCGAGTTCTGACTCACCAGCTCTGGTGCAGGGATGTGGAGTCTGTTTTTACTTACTCCACCCAGTGGTTTTTATGACCAGTGGTCCAGGAACCACTGCAGGTTAGTCCTGGAAGGGTCCCAGCAGGGGTGAGTCCTATGCACCTGATGGGTAGCTCATGGGCAGTAGATCCTCAGAGAGACCAGTTCCCTCCCCTCCCATCCCTGACAGGAAGGTAAAGGCATGAACAGAACTGCTTTAAAAAACAAAACAAAACGGTTGGGACCACAGTGCAGAGTGAAGCGTGTTCCCAAAGCACAGAGTGAAGCGTGTTCCCAAAGCACAGAGTGAAGCGTGTTCCCAAAGCCGCTCAGCACAATGGGTGAGCGCTGTCTTTCCCATGCCTTGGCCTCATAGCCTGGGAAATGAGGTCCAACAGAAGCTAGCTATTCATCAATCTCACTACTAAAAGGAGTCATTTCTTCCTCCTGGGGGAAGGACTAAATGAAGAGGTTACAGCAAGAGACAGAAGCATCTCTCCAGTATCTCATTCTACAGATAAGAAAGTGGCTGCCTCTTCCCAGTGAAACTCAGAGATAATGATAAATGGACCCAATTTATCAAGGACTGGGTCTCATGGGAACGTCTGAAATCCACGGGTGCTGCCAGGGGTGAAAGGTCATCAGCAGACAGCTTTGTTCTTGTGTGACAGGAGCTTCAAGTTGTCTATGGTGACACCATTTTGGCACCTCAGATGAATTTTGTCTTGTGGGGTAAAGTGGCATTAACTATAGGGGGAACTGAAGAAAAGCAATTCTGGGAAAACGCAAACTAACAAACAAACCCCTCAAGAATGTGAGTTATATGCAATAGTTAGCCTGACCTCGCTAATTTTGCTAATCATGTATTTTGGCTTTTGTAACTATCTGCTAAGCTTGCAGGAAAGGAACCTTGGAGACTTTCCAGCCAGGATGGGGTTTTCTTGCTTAGAGACCTTGGGAAAGTCTCAGGACCTCACTTGGTTTCCAAATACCCATGTATTTGGACTGAAATAAAGACTTTTAATCGGCTCATAAATGGTGGTCATCTCTGGTGCGAGCCCCACAACATTTGGCAAAGATCAATATGGGATAGGAATTCACATACTCTGATGCTTAAGAGTGATTACCAACCCAATGAGATTTAGTATCACCATGGAAATGGACGGACCACTAGGCATGCTGTGAATATGTTCCTAGTTATTAAGTAAGTAGAGGTGGGAAGAGTCACCCATATGTGTCTGGCACCATTCCGTTAGGGTGGGGCCCTGGAATTAATAAAAAGAAGGACCAAAGAGAGTACCAGTATTCACGGCTCTCTGCTTCATGAGTGTGGACACAAGGTGACCAGCTGCTTCATGGTCCTATGCCATGTCCTTTCTTCACGATGGATGGCACCCCCTTGAATTTCAAGCCGAAATACGCCCTTCCTTCCCTGAAGATGCTGCTTTTATTTTTAACATAACTTTTGCACTGGTTCTTTGGGAGTTTCACATCATGCACCCCAACTCCACTTCCTTATCTGCCCTCCCAGTCCCTCCATACCTGCCCTCCACCCTTGTAACCCCTAAAGAAAACACAAGCAAACAAACCCATTCTGCTCCTCTGTGCACCCTTTTGTCCAACCAGATTTACTTGAAAATGTTCACTGCAATGTGTGGGTGCTGTGGTTCAGGGCCTCTGGCTTCTGGAGCATCGATACTGGACCCTCATTGAAATGTCTCTGAGATACCCTGCTGTTGCCTGGTGTCAAGGAGATCCTGAAGGACCAGTTCCTTCACCTGCTCCAGGAGGTCATAGACAGAGATGTTGGAGTATGCCAGCTCAAAGCTCTGCAGGTGGACCTGGGTGCTAACTGAGTTGGTCAGTCCGAGCCTCTGCCAGAACCGCCCTCCTCAGGTGAGGATCAGAACCTGCACGGTGAGGGATGGGACCAGCTCTCCCATTGTGCAGGGCAATGGTGGGGGAGGGGGACAGCTCTTATGTCCACATCACTGGGGCAGGTTCTCCCAGGAGGGGAGAGCCATTTTATAAGTATTTTCCTTAGTGCCCACTGATCCCTACTCTGTGAGCTTGACTGTTGAAATCTTCAACAATAAACACAGTAAACGCAGCATCCCGGGCACAAGTACACTATGCCCTCCATGCGCTGTTGACTACAGACTCCGGAATCCACCATATTTCTTTCCTCCATGAAGCTCTCAATTGAAACCCAAGAAGGAAACCCAAGATGAAAGCTAACATTTATCATGCAAAGTGTAAGTGTGATAATAAATAAATGTGTAAGTGCCGGGAGGTGCTTCAGAGGAAACAGGCGTGAAGAAAAGTGCAACAGAAACTCTTTTCTCTTTAGCGTGAATACATCAGGGCAGGAAGGGCACAGCTTGTGCCTGTCCTCTGTTGGGCACTACAGCCAGTGCACAAGAACTACTTTAATGATTACACTTTCTCAATAGTCAGACAAAATGAAGTTTCCATCTGACCCAGGATATGTTTGGCGTTTCATGCTTTTCAATTTTAGACACGTTTAAACACAAGTCCAGTACAGACTGGTTCCCCCACTTAACAAAGGGGAAAGGGAAAAAGTTACTTTATTTCTGTGGAGTTTGAAATGTGTATCCAGTTTTTTGTTTTTTTTTTTTTTTTTTTTTTTTTTTAATTTACCAGTAAGTTAGCTCTAAGTTCTGGATTCGATCCCCATTTTCCTTCAAAGTCAACTTCCTCAAAAGGCTTAAGTGTGAAAAGTGTACCCATATATTACGTTGTGTTTTATTTCTTCGCCCTGTATTTGTTTCTCACGACAGCTGCATCCCAATTTATAGTAGATGGTAGGTCATTTTTATTTCTCCACATAAAAGTCCCATGACTTTTCATAGCCATAATGTTTTATTTACCCAACACGATTATGATACACAACTCTGGAATTGATGCCCTACCGACAACTGCTTGTATCACATGTAGGTAGAGGTTGACAGTTAAACTTACTCCTTTCAAAAAACACTCACTTTCTTGCTTTTCTCAGCTGTAACTCTATAAATCCAGTGTCGTGTGCCAGTAATTTTTAAAAATATACTATATGTCTCCTGGTGATGGCCATCTTACTCTATTCCTTAAATCCGTATTTAGAGACAGCAAAGCTGTCACTGAGAATATCACTATCACAGAATAGCAAAGATAAAATAGTAACCACTGTTGGGTGACTAAAAGTGCTTGCCACCAAGACCTATGGCCTGAGTTTGATGCTCAGACCTCACATGGTGGAAAGAACTGACTTTTCCAAGTTGACCTCAGGCCCCCATATGTGTGCTGTCACACACACACACACACACACACACACACACACACACACGCACACGCACACGCACACGCACATCTAAATAAATAAATGAAAAATAAAAGGTATACATCCATATTTCTTTCTTTGTTTTATCTCAACTAAATATTGAGACATTC